TAAATAAATAAAAATAAAAATTGCCAAATTAGCAAGTGAAAGATGTTTTCTTGTTTTAATTTGCATTCTTAGACTGCTAGTTCTATTGAACATTATTTCTTAATCTTTTGGTTTTTTTCTACATTACTGTTAATATTTTATGTAATTACTTAAAATGAATATTTGAGTTCATTATTAGGAATACAAATCTTTGTTGTTATAATCATTGCAAAAATATTCCCCAATAGTTGGAGATTTTCTCAATTTTATTTATTACACATTATTTTGAGATAGAGTTTAGCATGGTATGTAATCAAATATGTCCTTTATTGATTAATAGAATTGAAGTGTTTCACAACTTAAAAATTTAATCCTTTGCTAGTCCACATGCTAGTGTGATATTATTTGGGGCTTATATCTTATATACAAAAGAGCCTGGAAAGGAGAGATAGTACAGTAGGTAGGCTATTTGCCTTGCACACAGCAGACAAGGGTTTGCACAATATATGGAATGAGTGATCCTTGAGCACAGAGCCAGGAGAAAGCCCTGAGCACTGCTGGGTGTGACACACACAAACACACACTCTCTCTCTCTCTCTCTCTCATACACACACACACACACACACACACACACACACAAGAAAAAGAAACGCCTGATGAAATTCCACAGACTGGGAATATTATTGTGCTTGTTTTCTAGGGTACTATAGCAAAATGTCACAACCTTTATGTTTCAAGCCACAGAAATCTCATGCTTCCCAGTTCTGACGACTACAAGTTTAAGATGGAAGTGCCAGCAGAGTGGGTTCCTTCTGCAGGCTCCGAGGGAGACTCTGGTCATGTCCTGTAGCTAACAGACAGTAATTTCTGGTCATCTTCAATTTCTCTTGGGTTATAAATGTACTACCTCATTCTCCACTCACATGTGTTCTCCAATATTGGCATATTTGTATTCAGATCCCCATTAGTATAAGAATGTCAGAGATTACACTGATGTCCTTGTTTTAACTTAATCGCCACTTTAATCATCCGGTTTCTAAGTAAGGTCACATTCTGAAGTACTGGAGGGTAAGAATCCAACCTGTCATTTCCCACCCACAATGCCCATGAAAGTAGAACACAGATGAAGGAACAGATTCTCTCACTTTCTACCTTCCTCATATCCCATTCACCTTCACGCCTTGCCAAGATGACCACTCTCCTGATTTCCTACACAGGAGCTTTTCTGTTCTCAAGTTTCAGATAAATGGATTCCACAACAGATCTGACTTCAATACCTCAAAATTATATTTGCAAGAATCAACTGCACTGTTGCTTTGTTGCATAAAGCAATAGTACCTAATTCTTCATAGTTGTGTAATATTTCATAAAAATTCTTCATAGCTGTGTAATATTTAACAAAAGGAAGAAAAGTCATGTTATTTGACCACTTTACATGGACAGAGTTTTGACAGGAGAAAGGGTGTTCCACTTTTTAACTATTGTGACTCTCTTGCTATAAAAATCCTAGTTTAAGTCTTTAAGAGAGCACATTCTCACATTCTCTGGTGTGTATAGGAATGGACTTTGAGAGTCATGGGGAATGCATATACTTAGCCTTATAGATGCTCTCAAACACCTTTTCCAAGTGATTTTAAGCAGTGTTAGAGTGTTTTTCTGGCACAAATTTTCATCAGCATTTTATGCTGACTTAGACAAAAGTAATATTAATGAGAAAAATGGAGTATGGGTAGGAGTAAAGGTAGAGGGGAGGAATAGGAAGGAGTAGAAGAGGAGGAGGGAAGGAAGAGGGAGGGAAGAAAATTTTTATGTTAAAATTATTATAAATGCCATTGGTGCTGGAGTGAATAGCACAGTGTATACAGAGAACTTGCCTTGTGTGCAATCAACCTAGGTTTGACCACTGATATCCCATATGGTCTCCCAAGCATGGGCGGGATAATTTCTGAGTGCAGACCCAGGCATAACCTCTGAACATTGCCGAGTGTAGCCCAAACACCAAAAATGAAATAAAATATAATAATTATAAAGACCAGACACTGGGCAGGTCATATTACCTTTATCACATGACCTCGTTTGCTCTTTAAGATACCCAAGGGAGTTATTAGCTTAATTTTATAGACAAGAAAAGGTTAAGCTTTGAATCTAAATCTGTTTCCTAATCCCAGAGTCTTTATAATCCAGATAAAATGCAAAACTGGTTATTATGGAGAAGAAAGGACAGCCCTAGGCATGGAACAAGGTTACAACTAGGGAACTGGTGTGACAGCTATAGAGAGGTCAATCTAGGGTGAGAAGTTGACGCAGCCCTAAATCTCTTCCTAATGGCTAGTTTGCCACTTTATTTGGGCTAGTAAGCATGAATATCTGTTGTAAGGGTAGGCTCCAAATGTTACCCAATGGATGATTATGGAGAATCCAATGAGAACAGATGGGTGTACTTGTTAATATTCTAAAATAGAGCAAAATACTAGTTTTAGCTAGTGAGTCAGAACAAGGGGTCAAGTCTCAGATAAGGGAAAGATTTGTGTTAACTGTAGATATGTGGGCTGCTCTCATTACCTCTCTGATGCAAAGCCCTGAGTAGGGTAGTGATTTTCAGTGGGCAAAAATATTTCATAAAAGGCCAGAGAGATAGTATATCAAGTAAAGTGTTTGGCCTGCATGCAACCAACCAAGGTTCAATCCCTGGCACTGATCTGGTTCCCTTATTCCCACCTGGATGATCTCTGAGCACAGAGCCAGGAAGCAGTAAATCCTGAGCACCATGGACTATGAACCCAAAACACAAAGGAAACAAAATTCAAGGAACAGTAAGGACATAGAGAAAATGCTACCAGATAGTAGCCTTGCCACCAAAGATACCCTGTAATCTCAAGTACTGAGAGGTTGCTCTGAAACAGGCTCTGTGCTGGGAATCTCTAGATATACCCTGTGGGTCTTCACCGTGACCTTGAGAGAGAAATAAAGTCTGTTCTCCCATTCTGACACGTGTGGGAATCAAGCCAAGTTGAGGGTTAAAAACCTGTGTTTACACAAAGGGAGGAACACACACAGTAGCTTCATTCTAACAAAGAATGAATAGAGGTAAATGTGGATCTTCCTGAATTATAAACTATGTTCTTAAGGAATCTATGGGGTATATGCTCACTTTTTTTAAGGCAATAAAGAACATGATATTTCTCAGCTGCTGGAAGGTCATTTGGGAACATGAAAATTTCAGAAGGACAATTCTGGTTATTATGAGCCAACCACCCTTATTTACAAACCACATAATGAGTAGGTCCTCAGACTCTACTGTAATGAGTGCATCCTGGGACTAGTATCCTATGAGTCCACATAGATGAGGTTCTAATCACTTTAAATATTGTCATCTGGTTCTGTATTGGTGCAATTGCTTAATAAAATATGAAATTTCTGTTTTCGTTGGTGCTTGGCTTGTCTCTTAAAACATGGGTTTAGCTTGAAATTCAAGCCAATCCCTGGAAGACTTGCTTATGGTTTTAATTAGCCAATATGTTTACTCCCTGTATTTTATGGAACTTTTGTTGTTGTTTTTTGTTGTGCTGGGGGTCAAACCCAGAATCTCCCACATGCAAGGCAAGTGTCTACCACCGAGCTACACCCCTCCCCATCCTTTCCTATATTTTATTCTGTTGGTTGAAATGTCTGGTCTTTGGCATCCCGGGCAACCCTCTTTTACCCCACACACTGCAGCCTGCTGACTGGCCAAGAGCCATAGAGGAAGGGGCCATGAAATCACAGTGGGTACCATTCAGGCTGGCAGCTGAACCTCCCCAGAGGCACTGGATCTGGGGCACCTTCTCAGTAGAGAAACAACCAAAGGAAGGAGGAGACACGCTCAACTCTTTGGCTCTCCTGGCAAAAGACTCACCAAGCCATCAGAGTTCATCTCCAGAAAGCCCAAGAATCTTCAGATCTGCCTCAGGAACCTTTCTTCCAGACCCAGTGGGTGGGCTTGGTGCTCCCCAGGCCCCATTCTGAAGAGAGGGAGAGTGCAGCCTGAGGCTGGAATGCCCTCTGCCTGTTCCAGCACAAAAATGTGCTGCTGGCATTCTCAGAGACAAGCAAATGATGTGGTATGTGTGCTCTTCATCTCTATTTTAACGTCTCTAACAATCTAGTGGTTAATTAGCAATTTGCTGCCCACCGATATGCAAATGAATGACAAGCAAAGGCCCTCTGCATCTGTAATTATTTTGCTGATTTACAAGCCACTTTCCTCTCTTTGTAGGTTTTTCTCTGTGTGCATTCATGCATCAGGGATTTCATTTATTTTTAGAAGCTTATTCTGTGCCTTTTTCATATTTTCAGACTTCAGTAATTACGGTATCATGGATTGATCTATTAACCACCTCCTCACCCCCATTGCAAATGCATTTATTTTTCTGGAATCTTTTTCTTTGATTAAAAAATGCAAAAAACAAAGCGTAAGATTTATCAAGGAGTTGAAAATCCAAATTGCTGAGAGTCAGAGCGCAAGATTGAAAGATGCACATTTCTGTCACTGCCAAATTCTTATCTGGAATCAGAGGAGTCTTGTAATATTTGATTTTCTCCCAAGCAGCTCTGGTGAGTCGAGCCACGATCTGCGTTATCCATCTGCCTACTTTGGAGCTGGGTGTTTTACTATTTGGCGGTTTAAATGCTTTACGTTCTTCTTCTTCTTTTTTTCCTTGCCAGCGCATTAAGAAAAGCTCTCGTGTTAAATTAAGTCAATTAATAAATGGAGACACATTAAGCAATCAATTTTGTCAGCCTATCTCCCCAGCATTATGTATGGTTGGCTGTAACCACAAGATAAATGCAATGAGCTGATCTATGGTAATGTTCAATAATACATTCTCCGCCAGGCTCAATTCATCAGGGAGTTTCGGTAGGGGAGGCATTCGTTATTGGCTGTCGCTGCACCTCAAGGATAACATTTCTGTCCTTTTGATTGGCCGCCTCACTGCTGCAAGATTCTAACCGTCTTATTTTGATGATGAATATGAAGGCGCGCTAAGCCGGGCTGGAGCGGAGTGTCTCTGAGGCTGCGCTCCTTGCAGAGCCCAAGGACTTAGAGCTCCCTCCGTCGCCTTCCTGTGACAAACACCGCCACCCTCCATACCGAAAAAAAAAAAAAGTTGGGATGCTTTTCTTTACCCAGTGCTTTGGGGCTGTGTTAGATCTCATTCACCTTCGCTTTCAGCACTACAAGGCTAAACGGGTTTTCTCCGCCTCCGGGCAACTTGTCTGCGTCGTCAACCCCACACACAACCTAAAGGTGAGTCACTTCGGTGTGTCCCTTCGCGCCACTCGGGACAAGTTCCTTCCCCTGCTGCGCGCGCCTGGAGTTGGGGGTGCCGGGAGGACTCGGGCTCGGTGTGGAGCTGGAGCTGCTGCCGGGCTGCTGCGGGTTCTGGCAGGCTGGGCTGCTGGCTGCAGGCACGGCGAGTCGGGGCTGTCGGGAGACGGGGGAGAAGGGACCGGTGCAAGGAAGAAGGGGACTTCCCCGCCCCATTTCAAAATCTGAGTGTCCCAGCGTGTCCAGGGGACGACATTGGAAAAGTTAGCCCGATTGCAGTCTGCCCAGTGTGTTCGGAAAGGCAGGTGATTTGCGCGGTTTGGAAGCCCCTGCCGGCGAGTGGCGAGTTAGTCGGGGGCGCTCTTTCTGCAAAGTGTTTTTTTCTTGAGCTGAGACTTGGCTTGCCTGTGTGTGTATGCGTGCGTGTGCATGTGTGTGTGATTGTGTGTGTGCACTCTCTTGATGCAAAGTGGCAGTGTGTTTTCTTGAGCTCAGAGTTGGCTTATATGTGAGTGCGTGTGTGAATGTGTGTATGTGTGTGTGTTTGTGTGTGTCTGCACACACTTTCTTGATGCAAAGTGTGTTTTCTTGAGCTCAGAGCTGGCTTTCGTATGTGTGGGTATGTGTGTATATGTGTGTGTGCACACTCTTTGGATGCTAAGTGTGTTTTCTTGAGCTGATACTTGGCTTGCGTGTGAGTGTGTATGTGTGAGTGTTTGCACACTCTTTGGATACTAAGTGTGTTTTCTTGACCTCATACTTGGCTTGCATTTGAGTGTGTGTGCACATTCTTTGGATGCTAAGTGTGTTTTCTTGAGCTCATACTTGGCTTGCGTGTGAGTGTGTATGTGTGAGTGTGTGTGTGCACACTCCTTGGATGCAATGTGTGTTTTCTTTAGCTCAAACGTGGCTTCTGTGTGTGTGTAAATGTGTGTGTGTGCTTGATGAGAACTGTGTTTTCTTGAGCTCATTGGCTTGCGTGTGTGTGTGTGTGTGCATGCTCTATTGATGCAAAGTGTGTTTTTTTGGGCTCAGACTTGGCTTCCTGTGAATGTGTGTGTGAATGTGCGCACGCGTTCTCATGATGCAAAGGGTGTTTTTCTTGAGTTCAGACAGAGTGAAAGAGGGAGAGAGGGAGAGAGAGGAAGAGAGGGCGAGCGAGAGAGAGCAAGCGTGTGTGTCTATGTGTGTGTGGGCGGGTGTGTGTGTGTGTGTGTGTGTGTGTGTGTGTGTGTGTGTGTGCGCGCGCGCGCTTGCCTTCTTTCCAGCTACTGCCGCTTGGGTTGCCCCGAGAAGGCTGAGCTCCAGGCTGCGAGGAACCGGGCTGAGCTCTGGAGCCTCTGTGCGGGAATCACCGCGGCGCCCGCGCCTGCGGGGCGCTGTGCAGCCAGAGGCCGCGGGGGTGAGCGGCGGGCGCCGCTGCCTCTGCATTTGTGCCTGCCGGTCAATACCCTTTCAGAGAATCGCCAAAAATATGGGCTCCGAGTGCCCGCTGTGCCTTGGAGCTCGGATTGATGGGGAGGAAATGAAGCAGAACCAAGAGTTGCGGAGTAGATGGGGGGAGGGGGCGGGAGAAGGGAGGGCAATTGGGGTGCAGCGGGGCCGAAATGGGTCCTAGAAAAGCCTCTGGCTCCTGGAAACTTCCTTTCCAGTCCCCTTCCCGGCATCGAGGGATAAGTGACTGGGGTCAGGCTGTGTGCAGCGCAGTGCCCGGACAGTCTGTGAAGTGAGTCCTCATTTGACCACCACTCTGGGCCAGGAGCTTGTTGCTCATCGCTGCTTGTTGCTTATCACTTTGCAAACTTCTGGAAGGCTCTCCTTAGCCCGGGCGCCCAGGTCAAGACTAATTGGTGCCCTGGCCTCCCATTCTGGAAGTCCCTAGCAGGGACAGCTGCCTGGAGAAGTCCAGGGGTCATATGCCCAAGCCAGTCCTGGTGGAGTCTGTGCTGGGTCCCCTGATGCGCATCTGCACCAGGTAGTAGGCGACTTCCGGTACTCAGCCAGGTCTAACACCATCTCCCTCAGCAGTTCTTTTCTCTTTCCCTTTCTTTCTCCCACCTGGGTCCTCCTTTCCTTTCTCTTTTGTGGCTGAATTTTATAAACAAGACCTCATTACCAGGCATCATAGGCAGAGCTACTTGTCTAGCGTACAAATTAAAAAAGAGTTCTGGATTCCGTCTTTCAAGTGCTCTTAAGACCATATTCAAACTCCCATTATTTTGTCACTTTCCATTAGCTAGTTCCCAGTGGCAAGAAATTTTGTTTGTTCCTGTTTTGCATTTTAATACCTTAAAAAAATTTACGAGACTTAGCATCGCCAAAGATTGCATTCATGTGTTTCATTGACTGTAACTGTTGATGTGGTGGGGGGGAGGGGCGGGGAGGCGGTGCTGGGATCTAGGTTCAGTTGGGTGGAACGCGTCTGGTCTGTGTACGCTGTCAGTGATGGTGTTTGGGTACAGATCAGCAGCGCTGCTGGCCCTATCCAGCAAGCTCTGTGTCCTGGGTCAGCTCCGGCTGGCCATGCATTCAGAATGATATCCACATAGTTATCTGCCTTCTGGCAGCTGAGTGAAGTTGAAAGGAGATTTTGGAGGGTGTTGTGCTTTGTAATGATTCCCCCCCCCCAAAGATATGTCATATTAGACATAATTTGTCAGGGCTCCATTAGGAACTTCAAAAGTTGTTCTTTAAGCTTTTAGCTAACATGAAATCATATATAAACAAAACCGTAAAGCTGGGTGACATCTGCTTTGCCAGGCTATTTCCCAGGGCTCACTTTTTCTCACGCATCCACATTTGGCTCTTCACTTCCCATCCCCCCCCCAAAAAAATCACTTAAAGATTTTACTCAGAGCAGTTAGCATCACCACAGCAAACAAGTGCAGCTAGAGAGTCTAGAGAGCGCTAATGTGGCCACGGGGTGTAGCAAAGCTCCTGGATCAGAGCCCCAGCCCAGCACAGAGACCCCTATGACTCAGGCCATCACAGGGAGCGTTTCCTAACCCCCCATGCAATCAGGGGCCAGGGGGATCCATCAGGTGCATCTGACCTGAGGGCTAGCGGCCAATTTCAGACCTTTCATTTGTTTTTTGGAGAGGCCACACTTTGTGGTGCTCAGGGCATACTCCTGGCTCTGTGCTCAGGGATTACTTCTGGCGGTGCTCAAGGACCATATGAAGGCAAGAGATCAAACCCCCATGCAAGGCAGTTGCTCTCTACCTCTATCTTTCTGGTCCCATTTGCATATTTTTAAGTTGAACCACCATGAATTACAAAGTTACAAATATATGAGTGACTGAGTTTCAGAAGTATATTGTTTCAACACCAATCCCTTCTCCAGTGTCCACTATCCTCCACCAGTGTCCTAGTTTCCCTTCCAACCCTCCAGCCCCAAAATCAATTCCTTCCTTCCTCCCTCCCTCCTTCCCTCCCTCCCCCCTCCCTCCCTCCCTCCCTTCCTTCCTTCCTTCCTTCCTTCCTTCCTTCCTTCCTTCCTTCCTTCCTCCCTTCCTCCCTTCCTCCCTTCCTCCCTCCCTCCCTCCCTCCATCCCTTCTTCCTTTCTTCTCTTTGTCCTTCTCCTTTCTTTCTTTCTTTCTTTCTTTCTTGCTTGCTTGCTTGCTTGCTTTCCCTTCCTCTTTTCTTTCCTTCTTTTTACCCTTCCTTCCTTCCTTCCTACCTTCCATCCTTCCTTCTTTCCAGGTTTTGGGCTACATAAGCTGTGTTCAGGGCTTACTCCTGTCTCTGCACTCAGGATTTACTCCTGATGGTACTTGGGGGACCATATGGAGTGCCGGGGATTGAACCCTGGTGTTCAAGGCAAGCATTCTACCCACTGTACTATCTCTCTGTTCCCAGAAAAATTCTTTCTATAGGATCCAGGGTGCTACTCTCACTAATGGTAGAAAAGTGAATAAATCTCAAAAGAAAAGTGCTCCTTCTAAGCATTCCATAGCCAGGACACAGTAATATGCCTTGGATGTAATAAGTTGTGATTCACACATAGGGGAAATTTTTCTTTCTGGATTTTTTTAATATCTTTCTATTTTTTTAACAGGAAAAAAATACCTGTGCATTGTTAACTCAGTATAGCTATTGATCTGTGGTGCAGCTCAGCATTTTATATGACAGGCTGGCACCTGAAGTGGTGACCAAGGACAGAGAGCCCGAAATGTCGCCTTTCATTTTCTAGGTTGCGTGCAGCTCAAATTGGGCTGGCAAGCCTGTGTTTCCCTTTGTGGAAACATGTTTTGCCCTTTGTTCTTTCCTGGGCCTTCCTGAGAATGTGGATGGTATTTTAGGTCCTGAGGCAAGTGCTGGGTTATAATCAAAATTCACTTACTGAGCGGAGAAAATCTTGTGTTTACCATGCTTCTATAGGTCACCTTCATCCTCAATCTTATTATGGTGATTACTCAGTAACCTGGGATTCCTCCAAGCAGGCTGGTGCCTTTCTTTCTAAATGGGAGGCAGAAAAGTGTTCAGGGGCATGCGGGCCCCAGTTAAATCCATCCCCCTTCTGGAAGCCCATGCTAATTAAAAGGGGCATCTCGAGGAATTGACCTGGAACACCAGGCTCCTGCCTTAAGCAAGAGCCGGGCAGAAGGAGAATTAGGAGCAAAGCCCTCTTGGTGGTGTGCAAATGGATACTTGGTGTTTTCCCTCTGTCTGCTGTCTGTCTGTAGGTATGGCTCCCTGCACATATTAGGGCTTCTGGTGTTGGTCCCTACCACTCCTTCTCACTCCACCAGAAGTGATCACCAGAGAGCCAGTTTTCTTGGCTGGCTGCTCTCTGCATCTTTATTCCCAGGGGTTCCTGTAACATGGCCAGAGGGTTTCAGGCTGGCGTGAGCAGGCTGCCATGTCTGGTCCTGATTCAGCACTGCCTTCTCCTTCAGAACTCGCACTTGATTAAAGACCAAAAAAGTCTTTCCCTCCTGATTTCTGGCTTCTCTCTCCTTGGCCCCCGCCCTGATTC